GCCCTTTCTCTCTACACACACAAACATCTTCCCTTTTTTAATCACATCAAATCATCACTAATCTCGAGTGCTGACCTGAGACCAGAAATGGGTCACGAGGTTCAACCAAATCAACATGCTTCAAGAAGACCATGATTGAAGGAAGGTTTCTTAAGGTGCTTGACTGAGAAGGACTCATACAACTTAGGACTAAGTTCTATTTCGGTTCTAGGAAACTTAGGGTTCAAGCCCCCAATGGTTATGCTATGACGGCTCCGGTTCTGACTCTTAGAGTCCCTACAGGGGGTCTATGGGACCCTAACCCTGTTGGACTTGACTCTCGCCTTGAGTAGGTTGATCCAAGTCTAGTTGACCTCGTGGGTCAGGCGAGTTTTAGGGACTAGGGTTTCACCGAAAATGTAAATTTCCACAAAATTTCCCCTAGATCTAGATAATGATGGGACCCTAGTTTGGCAGCATTTCCCCTAGGCCTAGACATTGAAGAGGGGTGTGATATAGGTTTTGCACAATTTTCCCTAGACCTACATGTTGAAGAGGGGTGTGACAATGGTTCAGCCCCCTAGACCTAGACGCTAAAGAGGGAGGTTACACCGGTTCGGCAACGTTACCCTTAGACTTAAACATTTGTGAAGGGTGTAACCCTAGATCTTTAGCCCTAGTTTAGAATCCCCCTGACTATTTAAGGTGCTACTAACCATGCAGATTTGCTGGGCTATAGGGCTCGGTTTGACAAGAGGTGGGCTAAATAAGTTAACCCCAGGACGTGGGAGCATGGTCCCATTGGAACCGAACTTAGACTGACCTGAAGTAGGGTAGGCTCAGTGGATTGAGCCATAGGGTCCTACAGTTGAGTCATACTAGGAGCTCTAGATTATGCAGTGGACTCAGTATCCAAGTCACTGTGGACGACAAACATGACAACTAAACCTAGGGTGAAACAAAGTAAGCAATCAATCACAATTTGAAACAATTTGACCTAAACAATAGTTGGGTTGGACTTGGTGGGATTCAGTGCTAAGTAAAAAGTTGAAAGGCTTGATAGGTACCACAAAACGTCCAGCTACAGTCGTTTACAGAGGCTGGTCCTTACTATAGTGGGATTGTTTCATGGTTAGAGTTTCCTCAATGGGATGCTTTGCTCACTTACTGGACACATTCCCAATGCTCCACATACGAAACTAGGTCCCGCACGAAGTCCACCATTAATTAAGTGTCAATATAGGGGTTTTCAAAAATTTGAAATTATTTGTGTATGTTGATAGTGGATACAAAGACTAGAAAAAATTTTCAAGGCAAAATGGACACCTTCAACAAGCCACATGCTAAAAACTAAGCTAAATGAATAAGTTACAATCCATTAAATAACCATTTCTAGCTTTGTATAACCACTGTAAATAAACTCAAATACCAAATCCTTATGGGGCAATTACATATAAAGCAAGACTAGCTTATGAATTACACTTTCGTAGCACAAATTACATAAACTATGTCCCAAAGCTTAAATACATCATGCAACTAATTTAAATAAAATTCTAAGGAATAAAATCAGGTAAACAGGGAATTAGAATGCCAAATTAAAATAGGGAAGCCATGTTTCGAGCCCCTTGTGCTGGGGCCACGCAATTAGGCCCTATAATGACTTAATTTTGTCCCTTCAGATTGTACAAAAGTGGTTCAATCTCACAAGAGTGTCTAATCCTAATGGAAAGCAATTGCACACCTTAAAATCACTTCTTAAGATCTCAACACATTGGCATTATCATCTAAAACATAATGCAAAGCTTTGAATAGAATTGGATAAAGAACAAGAGAGTTATAGCCAAACTACACATGGTGGTTCCTCGGACCACCAAAACAGTCTTGTATGGAAAGATTATGAACCCTCATTGGTAAAACGTGATGAAAAGGTTATAGAAATTGAGTGACACTCTGAGACTAAATTATTTGATGGATTTGAAACAAAGTAATCAATGGACACCATGCATGATCGTGGATTCTCATGCATATAGGCCATAACTCTTAAAGGACCATACTATGAATAAGCATGATAAAAAAAATTATCAAATGGGGATTCTAAGATCAATGAAACCTTTCTAAATTCAAAACTCTAGAAACTATAGATGCCAAGAATATGATCTTACGAAAAAAAAATTCAGTGGACTTAAGCATAAGAAAGGAGGACCACCATCAAGATCATCATTAATGGAACTCTAAATGCTCTCTCTCTTCGATTTTCTCTCACAAAACCTTAGAAGAAGGAGGGGAACAATAATTTTTCAAAATGGTTTTTAAAGTTGACATAGCTAGGGTTTAATATCTGATGATGAGCTTTTATAATATGGGTGTAACCTTGGACTCAATCAACACCCTTGATACACTAATCCAAAGGCACATGAGAGGCTAATGTACCTAGCCACCTATCTCCATCCAACCAGTAGGATGAAGGGATGGGATTTCACACCATTATCATTCAACCTAACCCTAAGTTATGCCACTTTACCATTTTATCCTTGGCCCATGTTTTTGTTTCAATTGTATCCAATATGGCTTTACAAAAATACCACTAGTTTTTTTAATAATGTATTATACTAGATAACCACAAAGGCTAAAAGGTAAATAAGTAATTGGCAAAGGTCACACATGTGGAGATATACTACTTTATCAAAGCCAATCACTTTGTAGATCTAAAATTTTAAACCAATCAATTTAAAGATAATGTCTCCTTCACACATGCCTGTAAATATGTTTTTCAACTCAAATTTGAAAATGCATTTTCTCTTTAATATCAAATAAATTAATTCATTAAACTTCCAACAAGCCATGCATGACCCCATATATGAGTTAATTAAGACATGTGATAAAAAGGAGGCCTTAATTTATAACATTATATAACAAAATATAACAATATATAACATGGCACCATAACACAACCCCTTATAAAACAAGTAACCAAATGCCAATCTAGTCCTCCACCTAGGGATTAGTGCCCAACAGGGCGGTGATCCTAGAGTGAGGCGTGAGGTGTCACGTGGCAGTCCTATGACCAATCGGATGTCACATGGCACTACCGGGTCAAGAGTAAAGTGGAATTTGAGTCAAATAATATGCAAACCCTCAATTTTTTAACAAATAAAATTTCAAATTTTTTTTTAAAATTCACAATAAATATTTAAAGTATTTTTGAACAATTATTAGGTTTATAAACTTAGACAAAAGGTATAGTGAGATCTCAGGCTAATAACTTTAGGTATCGGAGTACTCCATTGGGCTAGTCCCGAATGACGTTCTGCCAAGTCTCAGATCGACC